TGAGTACAGGTTCTGGTTAGGAGGACAGAACTGTTTTGGTGAGCAGGAAAGCAGAGAAACAAATGATGAAACATTGGCCTTGGTTCACACTGCTGTACTTTATAGATAGTTAGTTTGATTTTTCAGTTTGAATAACATTAAATCTGTTTTATTTTGGGTAAAGTCTTGTCTTAAGGTCTAAAAAAGTTAAGTCTGGTCCTCTGGACATCCAAAAAACAAAACAAAGCAATACGGATGCAAGATGAAATGTTTCAACTTTTTTTTTGTTTTGTTTTTTGAATGTCCAGAGGACCAGACTTAACTTTTTAAGATTTTTCTACTTGGATTATTGAACATGCATCAGGATATCTTGTCCTAAGAGTTTGACTTGCAAGCTGGTTTGTGTTTTGTCTGCTATAAGCATGTATTTGCACATATCCTGCCTCAGTTTTTACTTCTCAAAAAGCAACATTAATGAAAATAATTTTATTTGTTTCACAGATCTTAAACTCAATGATCTAAATGTATAATTGATCTGCCAACAAAGTTAAATCAGGTCCTCTGGACAGTTTTTTTTTTAAATTAATTTTCTTTTTGTCAACAAAAACAAACCATCCAGAGGACCTGATTTAACTTTGTTGGATTTTTCTACCTGGATTATTGAGCATGTATCAGGATATAATTGATCTTATTTATATGAGCATTGTCGATAACTGAAGTGTGATGATAATCAGCATCTGAGCCTCAGAATCTCTTTTTTTCTTTCACATTTCGACTCTTCACCTCCCCCACACTTGGCAGGAGAGCAGAGCAGACATTACACTATGAAATCTCACTCCAGCTATTGTGAGTCAATAAATCTGTGAGCTATCTCAAGGACATCAAGAAGTGAGAAACTTGTGGGAAACTTTGTTTTGTTTCTCGAATCCTCCCCTGCAGTTCAAATATTCACCACAAGAGGGAAGCAGAGCCTAAGAATCAACTTCACTTCCTGGCAGAACCACAGTCTCTGAAGCTTTAGTTTATTTCATCTCATTCATTCTTCATAAATTGTTATGCTGCAGTGTTTCATGTCTTATTAAGAAGATTTGATTGTGTAAGCATCTAAATAAATTAAAACAGTGCTCTTAATCTTCTTAATTTGCATAACTTTTTTTAAATTAAAAAGGCAAACTGAGGAGCTGCATACACCAGCCTTGTCTATCAATTTTTTTTTGAATGACAATTAAAATCTGTTTATATTATCTGCAGTGAACTTTCTTGCAACAGTGTTTTATTGCTTTGCAAGTATATCTCTGCTGGAATAAAGTTAATGCTAATTGTCTCTGGTAGAATGAGAAAGCTTAGCATATCTCCCAGTAGGGAGTGCTTTATCTTTCAGTGACAAAGATTTATGTCCATGTCTGCTGCTCTCAATTATTTCAAGCCACCGTTCGTTTTTCCAGGTATTCCTCCACATTCTGCACCACAGCTCAACTTTATCTAAGCAGAAAACATCACGCTCCCAGCTGGGAATAATGAATGTTGCTTTGTTGAAACTGTTATTGGCGTTTCTTTATACTACAGTGGCAGGTTCATTCCTGACACTCACCTGCAGCTTAATATTAGAACATTACCTGATGAAGAGTTTTAGTTTAGAATCTGACTGACTCCATTTCTCTGGTTCTAACTTTTTTTGTCTTCTTTTCTCTAGCTATCTGTCTTGAAATGCACATGCATTAAAGACAATCCATTCATTATCTTTACCTGCTTCTTCCTTTCTGGGTCATGGGGGTCACTGGTGCCCATGTCCAGCAGTCACTGTGTGAGATGCATGGGACACCCTGTACAGGTCCCCAGTCCATCACTGGACAATGATAAGCCTAAACATGGCTTCTGCTCTTAACATTCAGACTTTCATTATGTCTAAAATATTACACATGTTTGCCCCATAAATAAATAAATAAATAAATAAACAAATAAATAAAATGAAATAACCACCTACATGCACAGCATATTTGTTTTGGATAGAGAATGTGAAACAAGTGTGAGAGCAAGCTGTTAGATGTTCCAAACTGATTCAATAAGTTTGCTGAACTTTTCCTTGCATGATATTTGATTTCCCCAAGGCTGCCACATCTGGAGCAATGTTAATGCTCACAAGTATGCATTGGGGAGGACTCTCAACTACTACCACACCCAATTTTAGCTCATTATCTGTGAAATTCATATTTTTATTTAAGCTAATGTGGATTTTCTGTAATGGCCATTTGACTCCAAAATGTAATCAATTGCAAAGTTCCCTTCGATGATTAATTTCAGAGCGTTTCATTCAAATCAACTCAGAGATTCACAAGATATTTTTTTGCTAACAGACAAACATATTTATGCCAATGGGCAAAACAAAGGTTTTAGTGTAAGATCCTGTGCATTGTATAAGTGCTTGGAGTATGTGCTGTGGATGACTCTCAGCTACTACCATACCACATTTTAGTTCAATATCTGTAAAATTCAATGTGTTTTGGTTGTGTTTCGTAAAACCAGTAAGCCGTGGCAGCCATCTTCAATTGGTTAACTCCTAAACTGAAGCAGTTGTAACACTTAATGATCCATTCCTGAATAAAACCCATCCTGTGGTTTATGAGATATTTTGCTAACACACAGACAGTGGCAAAGTTAAAAAAAAACCCCATCTCATTTGAGCTGTTAGCTTTCAGAGTATGCGCTGAGAATGAGTCTCAGCTACTACCACACTGGTTTTGAGCTCAATATCTAACAACTTTACTGAGTTCCCACTTTTTAGGTGTTTGCGTAGCTCGCTTAGCTGTGGCGGCCATCTTGAATACAATGGACTCCTCGGGGTTGTCAGTTGTAGATGTTCATTCATTGGTTACTTTCTGATAATTTCATTCAAATTTGTTTTGTGGTTCACAAGATATTTTGCTAACACAAGTGATAAATGAACGCACACACAAAGACACAGACATGGAAACATATTTATTTCTATAAGCATGAAATCATCTGTCACTGTCTAAATGTCTTGTTTGCCATTCATGCTTTCTGCTGAAACTGGTTGCAGGTGATCTTTTACTCCCAATACATGCATTTTTTTGTGTGTGTTTTACAAAAATAAACAAGTGGGTGCAGAAAACATATGGGAGTGAGCTACAAGGAGCAGAGGTCACAAAGGTGCAGGGCTTCAAATACTTGGGGTCCAATACAAATTGGGGCGTAAAGAGGTGAAAAACAGAGTCCAGGCAGGATGGAGAAAAGTTTCAGGAGTGATTTGTGACACATTTGTGCCACAAGTGGCTGACCAAAGAAAAAGTTTACAAGACAGTGGTGAGACCAGTTATGTTGTATGGTCTGGAGACATTGACAAAAAGACAGGAGAAAGAACTGGAAGTGGCAAAAAATGAAGATGTTGAGGTTCTCCTTACTGACAAGGATGGATAAGATTAGGAATGAGAACATCAGAGGTACAGCACAGGTTGAACAACTGGGAGATAAAGTTAGAGAGGCCAGACTGAGATGGTATGGACATGTCCAGAGGAGGGACAGTGGGTATACTGGTAGAAGGATGTTAGAAATGCAGCTGCTGGGAAAAAGACAAAGAGGATATATGGATGCAGTTAGAGACATGGAGGTAGTTGGAGTGAGGACAGAGAGAGATGGAGGAGGATGACTCGCTATGGAGACCCCCGAAGAGGGAAAAGCTGAAAGAAGAAGAAGAAGAAGAATGAAAGAAGGGCGCCTGAGTCATGTAGGCATACGTTCTTGTGAAGTTATGGTGTTCAGACTAAAGGTGATGAAGATTCTTTGTTCACTTCTGTGAAACAAACACATTTCAAAACAAATATCGTGAATTAAAAAAAAATAATAATTTCCTATCTTTTGACTCACAATCACAAAAATAGGCAGCAATATATTAATTGCTGATAATAGGTGATTAAACAAAGTAATAAAAAAATGTGCGTGAAAGTCATTTACGCACGTTCCTCCTGGCGACCGCATCCGACACTTCTTATCTATTTGTCATGGAGAGATGATGAATCCATCCCCGCACACCACCGGAGAATTCCTCATACGAACCTCAATCACGTATGATTGCGTTAAAAAGAGTTGGAGAGAGAGAGAGAGAGGGGGGGGGGGGGGGGAGGAGGAGAGGGAGGAAGAGACAGAAAGGGGGAGGCTGTGGACTCTCCTCTGTCGGGAATGTAACGCACGGACACCAGCGTTCATTCCAGGACGCGCTGGAAACAATAAAGCTCCTTTTTTGGGGGGGATTATTTATGCGGTGAGGGCGCGCGCGCGTTGCCTCAACTAATTGTTGCTTTTCAGACAACTAATTGCTCCCGCTGGCTTCAGTTCCAGCTCTGCAGCATCCTTGCAGCCTTTGCTGTCGATTCCATTTTCCCCGAGACTGCACTTAGAGGTGCCATCGACAGAACCGGAGAGAGTGTGTGTGTGTGGGTGGGGGGTGGGGGGAGCATCTAGGACCACCGCCAGCAGCAGCAGCAGCAGAGGGTGTCTTGATCCACGCGCATGATTGAAGAAATGATGTGAAACAAGAGAGGGGAAGTTTAGGACAGGCTGCTGTCTCCACCCACGCCGCGCACAGCAGCCCGTTACTCGTCTTGGGGGTGAATTGTTGAAGGGGGTCCACAGGACGGGCTGCTGTGCGGACCCTGCTGGTCAGACGCGGCGCTGCGCTCCTGGAATACCTGAAGATTTCCAATGACAACGCAGCTGCTTCACCTCACGCGCACTGTTGCATGTTTCCACGGCTGACACGGCGGCCTTGGCCGGACATCTGTGCTGGAACGAGGAAGGTCCGGAGCGCAGAGACACTCCAAGTCTGGGTCGGAGATGTCTCCTTCAGAGGATGCGTGACTTAAGGCGCGCGACTCACAAGATGTTCTTTATTCTTTGATCAGGATGACATTTAGTTAAACACAACATTAAAACCAACGCTTTTGTTGAATCTTTATTTATTTATTTATTTATTTATTTATTTTTAACTAAGAAGTCGCATCGGGACTCTGCCGAACTGGACTGTCGTTTTTTTTTTTTTTTTTTAATAATTATTTTAAATTGTATTAATTTTTCCGGGAGATGGCTGCGATCGCCAGCTCCCTGATCCGGCAGAAACGCCAGGCGAGGGAATCGAACAGTGACCGGGTCTCTACTTCCAAACGCCGCCCCAGCCCCAGCAAAGACCCCCGCTCTCTCTGTGAGAGGCATTTCCTGGGGGTGTTCAGCAAAGTCCGCTTCTGCAGCGGCAAGAAAAGACCGGTTCGGCGACGACCAGGTCAGTGAGGCAGATATTTCTCCTTCTCTCTCTCTCTCTCTTTTGCACCCCCCCCCCCCCCCCCCCCCCCCCCCCC